CGGCGCCGCCAGCCGCAACGAGGTCCAGCGCCTGGTCTGCGCGCCGCTTGCGCTGCTGCGCGCCCGCCTCGCGCCGCAGCTGCTGCTCCTGCTTCGCCGCCCGCGCCGCAGCCGCCGCGGCGGTCGCCGTGGCGGCGGCCGTGGCCGCTGCGTTCCTGGCTCCGCCCTTGCCGCCGGGGCCAGCCTTCTGCTGCTGCTTCTGCTGCTGTTTCTGATCCTGCTTCGGCTGCCGCTGCTTTGGCTGCTGCTGCTTTTGCTTCTGCTGCGTCTGCTCTGGCTGCGGAAGCTTCCCGCCGCTGCTGCCGTTGGCCTGCTGCTCCTTCTCCTGCTCGTCCCGCTCCCGCCGCCGCAGCTTGCGCGCCTTCCACCGCGACACCTTTGGCGCCGCCCCCTCGTCGCCTGGCGCCGCGCCGCCGCCCGCCTCGCCGCCCGCCTCGCCACCCGCCTCGCCGCCCTGCTGCTGCTGCTGCTGCTGCTGCTGCTGCTGCTGCTTCTGCTGCCGTTTTGCCTTGACCTTGCCCTTCTTGCCGCCCTGCTGCTGCTGCTGCCCGTTGCCATCGGCGCCGCCATCGCCACCATCGCCCTCCGTCTGCGGCTGCTGCTGCTGCTGCTGCTGCTCCTGCCGCTGCTGCTGGTCCTCCTGCTGCCGCTGCCGCTGCTTCTCGATCTTGTGCTCCCGCATCTTGAGGACCTGCAGTGGCAGGCGTCAGAACGCAAGAGCGAGGGTCGAAAACAGTTTGCAAAACGAGAGCATGGAGAGGCGTCCCAGACGTAAGGCCCGCCGTTTCGGCGCGGCCGTGTGCGCCCACGGCGCTTGTTGAAACGCTGGTCTCAGCACGCACCCGCACGCATTGTCACGAGGAGTTGCACCCATTACAGCGCTGACATGTGCTCCCCCACACGTTGGCCCCTACATGCGCACAAGCGGCCCAAGCGACCCCAAACACACACACTCTCTCTCTCTCACACACACTCACAACCACACGCGCGTGCACGCCCGCACACCTTGACGTTCTCAATAGCAAACTCCACGATCGGCCGCCTGTCTGCGCTGAACGCCGCGGGGTTGTTGTTGAGCTGCCGCAGCGCCGCCAGCGCATGGTCGTGGCGCTCAAACTCCACAAAGCCGATGCCCTGGGGCCGTTGGTGACGGGATGGGATGGGGTCGGATGGGGCGGGATGGGATGGGATGAGACACAAAGAGGTGCTTGGGATGCATAGTATGGGACTGGATGAGATGGGCCGATTTGTGAGAGGGCGGAAGAGGCCGGGATGAGTTGAGAGAGGAACAGGAAAGAATGGGGCAGGACGATTTAAGATGGCATTGTTGAGAGGAGAGAATGGGGCAGCGAAGGATGGGATGGTAGAGGATCGGGCGAGGTGGCGAGGGAGCGGTGAGACTATGAGCGGTGGGACGGGGTGTCGCCAGATGAGCGGGCTTGTGAGCCGGAGGGATCCCGAAATGGGCGCATCCACGTGGCGGCAGGGAGCGACTGATTGGACATGGTAGAGGCATGCATTGCGGCAAGTGGTGCGGCCGGAAAGAAGCAGCTCGCGACGTCGAGGTGCAATGCGGTTGCCAGCGGGGCGAGAGGGTGGAATGGGGGCCGAAAGAATGCCGCGGCCGGCCAGCGCGGGGGCAGAGCGGCCTCGGCGGCCTCGCTGCCGGCGCGTGAGGCGCGCTCAGCGTGTCTAAGGCCTCTCAGTGGCGAATATCATTGAGGTGCTGCAGCGGACGTGATGCGCCCCTTCGACTTTTGCTCCGCACCTTGGACTTGCCCCTGGGATCTCCCTTGGGATCCGGCCGGTCCTGATCCCTCAGGATCTTCACCTGCGAGTCACGCCAGGGTTTTGAGGTGGTGGGTAATACGAGTTTTAGGCCGGAAGGGCAGCATTCGACCCTGAAGGCTGGCGGATGCAAAAGCGGAGCGCGTACAGGGCGGCCACCGGAGCGCTGCTCGCGACGGCGTGCGCCGCCCTCTCTCAAAGCTGCTGGGAGCGACTTCTGCATGATCGCGCCCGCCCTGATGAGGGGCTTCGGGGCGGCGTCGGGTCTGGTCAAACCACGCCCGCACCTGTTTGACCACTGGGTTCTCCTTCGTGGCGCGCTGCTTCACGGCGTCGACAAACAGCGCGCGCAGCCGCCGCTCGTCGTAGCCCGAGGGGATGTTTCGGACGCTGAGGCGCAGCGGGGACAGCGCGAAATTGGGGGACTTGAGCTTCACATTCTTCTCCTCCGCGGCGCGCTTGCGCTTGAGCCTGTTGTAAACAAAAAAATTGGTAGGAGAGATGGGATTGCAGGTTTCGAGGGCCTTTTTGGGGTCGGGGCCGGGCGCCAGGTACAGGGGATGGGTTGTAGCTGTGGCGGCGTCGTGCGGCGTGAGCGCTGCTTGCACACACGAGGCTGCTGACCCCAGCTTTCACCCAAATCCTGAAACGGGCCCCCCAAGTGCATATGTCCGCACGCAATCCAGCCGGCAGTCCCGGTGCTTGCGCGTCCCCGCCCCCGCGGCCCCCCTCTTGCTGATACCCACACGCACACAAATGCCAATCCCACACAACAACACGCACTCACACACACCACACACACAAACACACGCGCACCTGTCATACTCTGGCATGCTGACCCAGGCCGCAGACCCCTCCTCAATGTGTCCCTCCTTCGCAAGGTACACGTTCCTCCGGTCCGCGCCCTTGCCCCCTACGCCCGCGCCGCCGGCGCCGCCCACACCGCCGCCAGCTGCGCCCCCGAACCCCAGCCCCTTCGCCGCCGCCTGCTCCGCCGCCAGGCTGCGCGCGCCATCCTTATCCAACGCCAAGTCCAGCTCAAACGCGCGGCCCCGCAGCTGCAGCTCCGGCCCCTTGCCGGCCCGCGCGCGCGCGCACGCTGCCGCGGCGGCGGCCGCGGCGGCGGCGGAGCGAAACTCGACGAACGCGGTGCCTTTGAACACCCCAGTGGACTTGTTGCTGACGAGGCGGCAGGCCTTCACTGGGCCAAAGCGCTCCAGGCGCGCCTGAACGTGTGTTGGGGGAGCGAGTGGCGGTAAGCAGGTTAGGGGTGTGGGCGGTGAATGGAAAGCCTCTCTGGGCTGGCTCGCCGCTGAAGAGGGGACCTGATGCGATGTTCCCGTGCCGCTGTACCCCGGAAGCGGCGAGTGATCGGGCGCCGCGGGCCCCCGCTCGCCGGGTGTTTGTGCGTGAGAGATGGCGCATGCGCTGTGAGGTGCAGACTTGGGCTACCAGGCGTGGCCCCGTCTGCCGCCCGCCTGATCCCCCCTTGATCACGGATCCTCACCTGCAGCTCTGGCGCTGACGTGTCCAGAGCAAGCCCCCTCACAAACACGGTGCTGCCA